TTTCCCTTTTCTTTGTTGAAGAGGGTCTGTGCAATCCTTCTGCCTAGTCCGCCATCTTGCCCCGCCTCCAACATATTCTTGTTAGGAGGAACCACACTTGTGTTTTCATGCCAACTCCCAAAGTCAAATAAAGATTAATTTCTAAAGATCTTGATCATAAAAGGCAATAATGATGACAAGGAAACACAAGATGAGACAGTCGTTGGAATGGAACCCCATTGTTACTTGGGAACTACAGGTATCCCCTGCTTTCTGCAAGTTCACTTTACACCCTTTTGCTTTTTATGAAGACCTGCGTTAGTACCTGTTTCACTAACAGAAAGAAATCGGAAGAAGATTTTCACTTTTACAAAAATGGTGAAAAGTGAAAGTCACGTTCAGTGTTGGTTTTGCAGTGAGCTGCTGAAGAGGCAGCACCTACCCTGCACCTTGAGCAGTGAAGGTGGGGTCACCCAGCTCCTTCTCTGGGGGCTACACTCAGCATCAAGCCACCATGGTTCTGAATTGTGCCTGTGAACACTGTGTTCGTGTTGGTTTAGGTTTTACGTGTTATTTGCTATGATTTGGTCGGTTATTTTTTGAGACTGGTAACACTTAGGAATGTTTCCCACATGAAGGAGTGGTAATGGCATCTTTGCTTGATTTCGTTTTGACCTGGGAAGCAAAGGGTTTCATAGGGACGCTTTACTTTCGGATAGTGGGGGAAGCCTGTACCTGTATTCAATTAGCAGAAGCGCTCATAAAAGCTCTCCAGGCCTGCCTGCCTCAGACCTGTCGTCCCAGACCCTCAAGAGGTGGGCCCAGGAATCGGCCCTGGAAACATTCAGATGCTCACATGTGATCTGACCCGGAAAGGCCGCCCCAGTACCCATCACAGTACACTTTGCATGTTGTAAACAACATGTGAACATGAGTTCCATAACTGTGGTGCCAGTGACTGTGCAAGGCGATGGGGACACACAGAGCAAGTAAGACAGCTCCACTGGGTTCAAGGGTCTTCCGTGGGGCAGAGCCCTGCCCTTCACTGTCCTTTGGGCCTAGTCGAAGGGCCCCTAAAGCAGGACAAAGGTGAACTCAGGTGACAGAGAGGTTCAATGCCTTTTCAAAGTGAACATACTAAAATCTATCACTTTGACTCTGGTTGTCCCCAAGTCCAAGACACATGGCTGGGCCCCCTTGGCTCAGTGCTACCAAGTCTCTCCTGACCCCTTGGCATCTCACAGCTTTGCCACTGACTCACCACGTGACCCTGGGCCAGTTGTGTCCTTTCTCAGAAGTTCAGTTTCCGCCCCTGGAAGTCGAGCAGGTGAGGTTTGGGTTGGGGCAGCATCATCCCGGTCACAGCCCCCAACTCCATTCTCTTTCCTTTCCCCTCTGTAAGCCCAGAAATTGTCAGGCAAGTGTTTGCTGAGAGAGATTCTGAGTAACCTCTTAGATATTTGCAAGGAAAAAGACAAATGTGCCGTTTCCCTGCATGAGTGTGAGCACGCAGATCTACAAGCTCGCGTCAAGCTTGCTCCCTCGCTGGGACTCGGGAGCACTGACCACGGGACCAGTGAGTGGACAGGAAAGCGGGAAACCTGTTACTGTGGAGCCAGCAAATCTCAAAGGGTGATGGGCACCCATTGAGGACCCATTTTCCACTTGGCCTGTAACAAGGTGTGTAACCTTGAACATGTCCCTTAACGTCTGTGAGCCTCACACAAGAGCGATGAGCACACTGGCCTCACAGGGCTCTGGTGCGGAGTACGTAAGTCACTCCACTCTTGTGAAGATGTCGAGGGATGATTGTCCAATCGGGCCCAGGGGAAAGCCCCTGGGGGTTACTGCTTCATGTCCTTGAAGAGTGCAGACAGACAAGTGGAACACTGGCCACCGCAGGGCAGGGTGCAAAGACCCCTGAGTGCCCTGTGCTGTTACAGGGCACAGAGTGGCTTTCCAGGCCTGGTGGGCCCCGCCTAGCACCTCCCTATCCCCTCCTTGCGTGGCTGGGACCAGCAGATGCCCTGCCCGCAGAGGGCGAGATGCCGGAGCACACAAACGGTGGCACCCCTGCCTCTCCTGTGCTTCCACGGGGACCTGACACAGCAGAACTACAACAGGGGGGTGCAGCCCAGGGGCTGAGTTCCAAGTCAGGAAGCAGCTTCCCAGGCAGCAGACACGCAGTGTGCCCTGTGAGAAACCAGCCGCCCAAGCCCACAGAGGGCAAATGCCCACAGGCTTTCCAGGGCTGTAAAACTGTGCAGAGGCACACTGCCCCATCTCCTCGGGGGACCCTAAGGAGTGGCCAGTTTGAACTGACAATGTTCTGGTTAGCAGCCCACTGCTTTAAGGCCACCAGGGAAAAGCCCAGGCAAACAAGGACTCTTGGTCACCCTCCTTGGGGCTGACTGCTGACCCCGGGCAGCCTCAGGCGCTTATGAAGGCCGGCGTCCTGCCGGCCACACAGTCATGGCGAGCACCCTGGTCCGCGCAGTGGACACATGCACGGGTGCATCGGCTCCACTGACTCCCACCTGGACCAGGTGCTTCTTGTCTGCTACAGCAACAGGCGCACACCCGGATGGGACGACAAGGAAGGGAAGGGAGGGCCCGGGCAGGAGCTCCAGAGCCCCCCCGCCCCCCCGCAACTTCGCCGCCACCCAGAGCACAGTGCTGGAGGGAACCACTCGCAGGGCACCCTGGGATGCAGCTCCCTGCCCGTGCTTGCGCCCCAGGGGATGTCCCGAGAAGCTGGGCTCCAAAGCCAAGCCGGACTTGGGAAGGGCCCCCGCGCGGGCCAGCGTCCCCTGAGGCAGGGGGCCAGTGACGTCACTGGCAGTCTGGGGCTCCCGCGTTGGCAGTGGCTGCAGCAACAGCTTGGCCGCGTGACCCGCGCGCGCCAATGGCCCGGCCGTCTCCGGGGCGACGCGGGGGTCTGCGCTCCACTGCCGACGTTGCCGCGCCCCCGCTCTGCGTCCGCACTGCGGAGAAGGCGGCGAGCAGGCGCTTGGGCCACGTGCCACGCTGCGGGAAGGGCCCTACCCGAGAGGGGCGCGGGACGCACAGACCGGCCGAAGCGTGGGGACCAGAGCTGACGGAGCGACACTGCGCCGTGCCCGTGCCCCTCCTGCCGGGAAGGCGGCGTCCCGGAGAAGGTATGATAAGGAGGAGGGGGGCTCCGGCCGGGTGGGCCCTGCACCCTCCGCCCGGGGGACGCGGCTGCCGCGCAGGGCAGAAAGGGGGGGGGTGGCCGGGGCGGGGCCAGAGGCGGCACTGACCTGCTCTCCGGGTCGCGTTCCCAGGCCGCGGAGCCGCACTCCTGGGAGTTGGCCTAGATAAAGCGCCTCGTGCGCTGATCGCCCAGGCCGCATCCGGGGCGGTGGCGACATGCCGGTGGCCCTGCTGCAGGACTGGTGCCGCGGGGAGCACCTGGACATCCAGAGGGCCCTGCTGGTCCTGGGCGTCCCCGAGGACTGCCCTGGGGCAGAGCTGCAGGAGACGCTGCGGGCGGCGCTGCGGCACCTGGGCAGCTACCGAGTGATCGGCAGGATGTTCAGGAGGGAGGAGAACGGCCAGGCGCTCCTCCTGGAGCTGGCCCGAGACATCGACTACGCGCTGGTGCCCAGGGAGATCTCAGCCAAGGGCGGACCCTGGGAAGTGATTGTCAAGCCCCGCAACTCAGACGGGGAATTTCTCAACCGGCTGAACCGCTTCCTGGAGGACGAGAGGCGCTCTGTGGCAGACATGAACCGTGTGCTCCGGTCGGGGCCCGCCTGCCCGGCCCCCGGAATGGCCATCTCCCCTGAGTTCTGGGCCTGGGCCCAGACCCTGGGGGCAGCTGTGCAGCCTTTGCTGGAACAACTGCTGTACCGCGAGCTCCGCGTGTTCTCTGGGCACACGGTGTCCATCCCTGGGGCACTGGCCTTTGACGCCTGGCTGGAGCACACCACCGACGTGCTTCAGATGTGGCAGGTACCCGAGGGGGAAAAGAGGAGACGGCTGATGGAATGCTTGCGGGGGCCCGCGCTGCAGGTGGTCAGCGGGCTCCGTGCCAACAATGCTGCGGTCTCGGTGGCCGAGTGCTTGGCGGCGCTGCAGCAGGTGTTTGGGCCTGTGGAGAGCCGCAAAATCAGCCAGGTGAAGCTGTGCAAGGCCCGCCAGGAGATAGGAGAGAAGGTGTCGAGCTTCGTGGTCCGTTTGGAACCGCTGCTCCAAAGAGCAGTGGAGAAAAATGCCATCTCCCGAAGGGGCATCAACCAGGCTCGCCTGAAGCAAGTCCTTGGTGGGGCGACCCTTCCCGACAAACTCCGAGACAGGCTGAGGCTGATGAAGCAGCGGCGGCGGCCCCCCGGCTTCCTGGCCCTGGTCAAGCTCCTCCGAGAGGAGGAGGAGTGGGAGGCCACTGTGGGGCCGGCGAGGCCCGAGGAGCCCACCAGCAGCGGGGACAGTGCTCAGGTGAGGCCCCCGCAGGGCTCTGGGCGCAGGCGGGGCAGAGGCCAGAGGCGCCGGGGAGGGGCAGCCCGAGCTGGCGCTCCGGCCGCAGAGGAACGGAAACGCCACTCATTTTGCTATGGCTGTGGGGAGGACGGCCACATCAGGGCGCAGTGCACCAATCCCCAGAACCAGCTCCTGGTCGAGCAGAAGATGCAGGCTACCGTGCAGTCGGGAAACGGGATCCGGGCTTGGGACCAGGGCCACCCCAAGCCCAAGCCCAGACCCAAGTAGGCTCAGGACTCCAGGGCTGCTCTCCCCAGCGCAAGCCTTGGAGGCAAAAGAGACACAGGGAGAAGGAGCAGGGGGGTCCAGGCAGACAGCAGGCGGTGACAGCAGAGCAGGAGTCAGGCTCCTTCACCCAGCGCCAGCGGGAAGGGACTCCACGGACCACACCGCACCAGGTGCCAGGAGGCCCGAGAGTGGGGCACAGAAGTGGAAGGGCCGAAGACCCCCCAGCAAGTGGGGAGCCAGAGGCGTGCGAGGGGAGCCCAATTCATGGGCAGAAGAGGGGGTGGCTTGGGGTTCAGTACAGGGACGTGGCCCCTCTCTTGAACCACCCCCTAACCCCCACCCTGTGGACTCTGAGCTGGGGATAAGCACCAGCCCCCAGGCCACGAAGTGTCTGTAAGAGCCTTCCTAGGGGTCACTGCAGCCCAGGGTGGGGCTTCCCCTAGCAAAAGGAGGTAGGGCTGGAGAAGAGGGACAGCGTGACCAGGAAGGGGTGTCCTGGAGGGGAGACCGCAGGGAGCAGCCCATCTTCCAGATTATCTACACCGTCCTGAGGGAGCCCCAGGAAGGTAGCACCTTGGAGCCCCCGCACCCCTCAGGGCAGCAGGCAAGCAGGCCAGAGGCCAGTCACAGCCCACATTCTCCTGGGCTGTAGCCTGGAGGGCCAATGGGTGTGGGGGCAACTGTGGGCAGGAGCTGGAGGAGGAGGAAATGCGGGGAGCAGGGTTGGGGGGTTTGTTTTACTTGTGTTTGTGCAGTGCCACTGGACACAGGAGGGAACAGGCGAGAACCTGGACTCACCTAGACAACCAGACCCCCATCGTCCTCACCAAGCAGCCCACACCCAGGCCACTGCCTTGCTCTGGGAGACATTGAAGGGAGGTGCTCATGTCCAGGAAACAAGCTGTCTGGGTCTCCCAGGATGGGGACTCCTTCCCCGCCCTTTGGGACAGGCTGCTCCCTGCTCTGGAAAGCCCTCCCGTATTTCTGTAGGCCCTGTAGTTACCAACGTATCACAGCCACCTGTCGCTTGTTCCCGTGGAGGTGTGTGTGTCCTCGCCCGAGCAGTTCCTCCCCGGAAACCCCAGCCCCACAACTGCCTGGAGGCACCCACACCAGGTGCCCCCGGAGACGTCCACCGCCCCCCCCCCCATGCCTATCCACTCCGTGGGGGACCCGGCTGCTACCTTCCGGGCTTAGGTTCCGGCCACCTGTCGCTTGTTCCCGTGGAGGTGTGTGTGTCCTCGCCCGAGCAGTTCCTCCCCGGAAACCCCAGCCCAGAGCCGGAGGACAGCGGGAAGGTCGGCCACGGGAGTGGAGCCCCTCACCCTGCCGGCCTCCGTGGGAAGGAAGGACGGACCAGGGACCGGGAGGGCTGCGGGGAACCCTCGGGGGCTGTGCCTGGAGCCCCAGCTCCACACTTGAGGTTGCTTGTGACTCAGTTTCCTCAGTGTGGTGACGTGTTCTTTGCTATGTTTTCCAATGTTCTTCTGTGACTGTCCTGTGGGGCCACGGGGCAGGGCCACGCCCACGTGGGCCGCCCGCGAGGGGTCCCCCCCCAAGTGAGTGGACGTTGTCAGAGCCCATCATCCCCCAGGAGGTGGGGCCTGGAGCAGGGGGAGGGCGGCAGCGTGAGGGGGGGCTGAGGCTCCTGGTTAGGGAGCCCAGGGGGAGGGGGCCCCGTGGCCTCTGGTGGTGGGTCTAAGTCCCTTCTGTTGTGACTCCCTTCCCTTCGATGGTTCCAGTGGAATGTTTGTCTTCAATAAATCTTGTTCACTATTTTCTCTGAGTGTCGCCTCTGGCATGGGAACTGAGGGGAGGCCGGTCGGGGGCAGGGGCGGGCCGTCGGTACCCTGACCCTAGCGTCCTCCTTGGGGCAGGAGTGGGTCAGCGGCCTGTATTCAGCTGCCGCTGAGGGGCCACCGAGGATCTGTGTGGGGGGGGTGCCCACTGTGAGAGAGGCCAGGACAGGCTTCCTCAGCGCTGGCAGAAAGGCTGCAGGAGCCTCCCAGCACCCTGCGTCCTGCCCAGGGCTCCCCGGGACACAGGAGGCCCAGCTCCCCAGCCAGCTCTGAGCCCCTCTTGGTCCTTGGGACCAGGCAGGAGACGCCGAGCTGAAGGGGAGAGGGGCCCCTGGGTACCAGAAGTTAGGCCCTGTCCTTGCAGCCCACCGACCCTTGGTGGTGCCCTGAGGAGCCCAAGGCAGAGGGTCCTGCTGGCCCAGGAGACCCCTCCCAAGCATGGTGGCCTGAGGTGCCGTTCTGGGGAGCGTGGTGAGGGATGGCAGAGGGACCAGCAGTGGTCTCCAGCCTCTGAGACCTGAATGCCCGGCCCATCGTAGAGGACAGGGACCTTTGGAAGGCAGGGAGCAGCGACTAGGCATATGGGGGGCCCGAGATGGGAGTGGCCCTCAGCCCCAGGTCCATCTGCCCGCAGGCGTCCTCCAGCCCTTATGAAGCCCAGAGCCAGGGCAAGTGAGCCAGGCGCCTGCAAATCAAGTGCGCAGGCTGGGCAGTAGCCAGGGCCAGGGGTCTGTGTCACCCTGCTCAGTGGCCTGAGCAGCCCTGGGGAGAGCTGGGGACATGAGGGCTGTGAGGGGAGGACCCGTGGGGCCCTGGACACGCCCAGGGGAGTGAAGGGCCTGGAGGCCATGGCAGCCAGGCCTCGTTGGCCCCACAGGGATTTGCTGCGTGTCCTCAGGCTTTAGGGGCAGGACGAGAGGAAAGGGGTGGGACGGGGGCCCACCTCATGGCCTCTGTCTGCAGTAAGAGCCTGTCTGGCTCCTGGCTTGTCCCTTTTGGAGTGTCCCGGGATGCTGTGTTCCCGTTGGGTGTGACATTGTGTGCGTGTGTACGTGACTGTGCTTGTGTGAGTCTGTGTGCGTGTGTGTGTGCGTGTGCAGGTGTGAGTGTGGGTGACAGTGCTATTTGGTTGGTGGTTTCAGGGTGTCAGCAAAGGGGTGGGTGGAGGAAGGCCTCTGCAGCACCTGCTCCCCTGCTCCCCCACACCACGTAGGAGTCCTGGACACGCCCGGGGCAGTGCGGGATGCGGAGGGGGAAGGGGTTGGGATGGTGTTTCTGGGGTGGTGTGGGAGATGTCAGGGGCACATGTGCTCAGCTATGGTCTCAAAGATGCTGTGCGCTCCCTTGCCCCGTTGTTCCAAGCAGTGCAGTTCAGTGAGTTCACTCCCACCTGTGGAACCAACCCCACTCCTGTCAGGACCCTGAACGCTTACGTCTTCCCAGACAGTTCCCTGGAGCTCGTCGGCGCCAGTCAAGGTGAGTTCCGTGAGGCAACCCCACGCTCTGAATTTCTCTGGCCCCTCTTGTGTGCTCTAGCATTTCACACCAGTGGACTCACACACCACCACACTCTTTTGTCTGGCTTCTCCCACCCAGATGCACCCATGTTGTGGTGAATGTCAGAAGTGCCCTGCCCCACCCAGTTTTCGGTGCTGGTGGTATCCCAGTGTCAGGGCTGCTTGCAAGGCCTTTCTCCCTTCAGTGGGACTTTCTGATGAAGGTGGAGTCAAGCCTCCTCCTCGGTGGGTGTCTTTGGGAGCCTTTGCTTTCCATTCTGAGTGGGTAGCTGGGGGTGGAAGGACTGGGTCTTCGGGTAGGCATATGGTTAACTGTGAGAAACAGCACACAGATATCCCAAGTGGTTGTGAGAATTCCACCCACATCCCCACTGACAGTGTCTGAGAATGCCAGGTTCTTGGTGTCTGCCACGAAAGTTTGTATTGTCACCTTTGAACTTTTAGCCCGTGCTCGTTGTGGTATCTCACTGTGATGTTAATGTGCGTTTCTGCAGTAGTCAGTGATTGCTTGGGGTGGCCCTTGTAGCCATGGTCTTTGTGACTCCAGAGATGGCTGGGTGGAATTGGATAGCTTGTTAACCAATGTAATGTAATGTAAACAAGACGCACAGCACCTTTGTGGGGGTGCTGTTAGGCGCCGTTGACACAGCTCCAGCTCACAGCGACCAGAACGACACACTGCCAATCCCGCACCAGCCTCACAATCTGGGCCATGCCTGAGCCCATCGTCGAAGCCACTGTGTCGATGCGTCTCATTGAGGGCCTTCCCCTCTTTCGTCGACCCTCCACCCTACCAAGCATGACATCCTTCTCCAGGGATTGGTCCCGTCTGACAACATGACCAAAGTAGGTGAGACGAAGTCTGGCCATTCTTGTTTCCAAGGAGCATTCCGGCAGCACTTCTTCCAGGACAGATTTATTCTTTCTTCTGGCGATCCATGGGACTTTCGGTATCCGTTGCCAAGGCCACAATTCAAAGGCATCAACTCTTTTTCGATCTTCCTTATTCATCGTCCAGCTTTCATATGCATATGAGGCGATTGAAAATGCCATGGCTTGGGTCAAGCACACTTTAGTCTTTAAAGTCACATTTCTGCTCCTTAACACTTCAAAGAGGTCTTTTGCAGTAGATTTGCCTAGCTCAACAGGACATTTGATCTTTTGACTGCTGCTTCCAGGGGTGTTGATTGTGGATCCAAGTAATATGAAACCTTTGACAACTTCAATCTTTTGTCCATTTGCCATGATGCTGCTTATTGGTCCAGTTATGAGGAGTTTTGTTTTCTTCATATTGAGGTACAATCCATACTGCAGACTGTAGTCTTTAATCTTCATCAGTAAGTGCTTCAAGTCATCTCCGCTTTCAGCAAGAGCGATTGTGTCATCAGTGTATCACAGGTTAATGAGTCTACCTCCGATCCTGATGCCATGCTCTTCTTCATATACTCCAGCTTCTTGGATTATTTGCTCAGCATCCACATTGAGTAAGTATGGGGAAAGGATACAACCCTGATGCACTCCCTTCTTGATTTTAAATCATGCAGTGTCTCTTTGTTCTGTTTGAAGGACAGCCTCCTGGTCTATGCAAAGGCTCCTCATGAGCACAATCAAGTTTTCTGGAATTCCCATTCCCATTCTTTGCAATATTATCCGTTATTTGTTATGATCTTTCGATTTCTCCACC